CAATTCTCTAATGAGGTTTGCAAAGGAAATGCACTTTGCTTTCATTCAGTGCTTTTGGTGAAGTTGTTTAATTGCAATAAAAGGTAAATATTTGGTATCAGTCTCCTTGACAACATGAGTTCATGTGGTGTAGCTGTTCCTGAAGCACTGTCTCTGCAAGAGCAGCATGTTGTGGTCATCCATATAGGGACTTGATGGATCTTCCCATCTTCAAGGGTCTTCCCTTCTTTCCCCAGATTTTTCATTAGTAGCAAGTGCTCCACTGTTTTTGCTGGAAGGGCAGCGCCGTGTGGGGCTGTTTGCAGGAGCTGTAAAATCCATTCATGCCTTCTTAATATTTGCAGCTCTCAGTGTGTTCAGTTCATTTGCTGTGACACCTGTGGGCAGCATAATCTTAGCCCCGTGCAGCTGTAGTGGAGTAGCCTGGAGTAGGCTTGGCTAAAAAGAGTGATTTTCCAAGCAAGGAGAAGGTTCTCAGTGTCTGCTGCCTGCTTCTGAGGGCTTGGTGACTGCCCCCCTCATGTTCCAGTGCCAGGCAGCGAGCAGGGCTTGGTGTTCCATGGTGTGTGTGGTTCTTGCTGGAATGAGCATGTTAGAATGATGCCCTCACTCGGCAGGTTTCCTGGCTGGGCTGCTGCCACTCACCCAGATGGAAGGTGCTGGATGGTGAATGATGTCGACAGCGCTGAGGGGAGACCGGAGCAGCCACTGGGACCTGCGTGCCCACACCTCCATCCTCCCCTCGTGGGGGTTTACACTCACTTGTGTCCATGTCCTGGCACTCACCCGAACACACAGTAAGTGATGGAAGCTTAAACTAATATTTTAATATCCAGTGCCACGTTGTTCCCTCACAGAGGTGAGGCCCCAGGGGCAGCCGTTTGTCTCTGGAGCTGTGAGTTTTTCTGTGCAAAGTCCTCCCTGGGCACAGGGAGCGTTTAAAAGTAACACTGCTTTTCTGACCGAAACCGGTTTGAATTTGGCAAATGGCTTTGAGGAGAAAAAAGTTAAATTCTTTGCTGGATCCACGTTTAAAATAAACCCTTCTGCCACTGCACTGAGGCACAGCCTGCCAGCGGCTGGGCCTGCCCTCATGGTTCCCTGGGCTCCTGTGGGGAGTCACTGCAAAAACAAGACGCCAGGATATCTCATCGAGCTGAAATCCTGAATGTGGTGGTATATTTAGGGAAGTATTTAAGAGTGGTTGGGGCTTTTTATTTTATTTTATTTTATTTTATTTTATTTTGTTTTGTTTCTAAAACAAACCAAACCAGCCTTAAGGGGAGGGAAGCACTGTAAGGTCCTCACACCATGGCAGCAGGAGGGGGAAGAGGATTGGGCTGGGGCTGCAACCTGTGCTCAGGGATGTGTGGCACCACAAAGCGTGGCAGTGCTTTGACATTTGTCATCGCTTTGTCACTTAAAAAGATGTGGTAAAAGAAGTGGCTGGCATGGTTGGAGTCAAACCTGCAAGCCCTTCCTGATGGCAGTGTTTGATTTAATATGCTCTTGCTGTGTTCCGGTGTCAGTGGAGCAAGAAAGCAAAAACAAAACAAAAGACAAAAAAAAAGCTCTCTCTCATGTCATCATGATTTACCTAAAAAGCTGTCACTGTATATACCTTTTCCTGGGGTTTTCCCTCTGTGGCAGTAGAAGGCTGGATTTTCCCCCATGGATGTAGCAATGCTCTGCACAAGGCCTTAAATTCTCTCCCCTTTCTGCTGCAGGTGTGCACTGTGCCCCACTGCTCGTCAGTTCACTGTCCCTGTGCCAAGGTCCCTCAGGCTTCTGTTGTCTCCTACCACAAGCCTTTGCTGGTGCTTGCTCACCTTGAGTCCAGGGTGCTGTTGCCAAGATCTTCCAAAGGAGCTTTTCACAGCCAGCACCTGCTGTGGTGGCATTACCACCATTCTTCTTTTCAATGCATTTTTTTCTTCTTTTTGTTTTTATTCTTTCTTTCTCCTTTAAAAGCTTAGTAAGAGATGCTGAAATTTGTTCCCCTCTGAGGGTGTGAATAGGAGCTAAGTGACAATAACAAAGATAAAGGATTGGATTTTTGATTGGCAAAAAGTGGGAGAGAGATTTGGGATTTTTTCCAAAGTTGTGTTGTGACAGATGTATGTGGGCATCTCAAGGCAAGTGACACAGGCTAATTTGAGGGAGCAATAACCCATAATAGCATGGACTATAAAAATTATTTTAATGATGTGATTATGTCCAGAAATGAAATCTGGGATAAGACTCAGTGATACTGCTTGATCTCTGCCCTGTTTTTCCAAAACTAGGGAATATATTTTTCTAGCCTCTGTATTTTGTGTTGCGAAGGAGAAGGGCATTAATGGTCTTGCTATTGCTACTGAGTGTGGTGTTAAGTTCTGCCTTGCCATTATAGCATGGAGTGGGTTACAAATGCAAATGTGTCCAGCCCATTGCTTTATATCTTCCCACTCCTGATAACCTAAATGTGTTTTTTTCTGAGGAATCATAAGGCATAAGGTGTGATAGGCTGTGGGTTTGAATTAAGTGTGATCTGGCTCCTTTTGTATGATTTCTGCAGTGAGAGATGGGTAGGAGTGAGATGGGCCAGGAATATCCCATCCCTGTCCCATTCAGCATTGGAAGCTGGGTGAGATACCACAGGGCACCTCAAATGGGAGCAAACAGCCCCTGTCACACAGTGGGGTCCTACCCAAGGTCCCACCAGGTCTCTGTCAGCCACAGGCAGGAGCAGCAGCAAGAGTTGAGCTCAGAGTGAAAGCTCAGGCTTTCTTTTATCTTCTCCCTGATCACACAAAATGGTCTATGGAACATGTTTATTATTAATACCAAGGTATTTTTACTCTGCATGAGGGAAACAAACCTGCAGGGTTTTTACTGCCATGCCAACCTTGCTCTGTCAAAAGTCACAGTCCTTTATTTCTGCCCCCTTCCACCTGCAACTTTTTCAAGCCACTGCACTTCCTATTAGCATGAATGAAGTCAGATGAGCCTCTGCTATCTGCAATGTCTGGTGCTTTCTTTCCAAAGCTACTCTTTAAACTGATAAACTGTTTCAGACAGTGTCCTTCGCTGTCTCAGTGATGATGGCTGGCCCAGGTTGTATGCTGGTCTTTGGGAGGTGGCTTTACTTGTAGTCACAAAGTTAATACTTAACCCAGGAATGGTCAGGATTGCGTTGGTGTATTCTGAAGTGTAAACTAAACTGGATTTCCTGGGTTTGTAACACTTAGTTTTGGATTCACAATTGCCTGCCAGTGTTTATAACCCTAAACTGCTGATACTTGCTTTCAAATATAATCCCAGTTTAATGCCCTTTTTGTCTTGGAATAGAGAGAAGGATTAATAGGAAACTAGCATACAGCAGACATGAGGTTTTACATCATTTGGTGTCTGCAAATGGCACCGATTCAGCTTTTCTTCCTGGGAAACATTTCTGATTACTCATAGATTTTTGGTTGTGTCAGTATCCCACAGCAACTTTTTTATCACATTAGAAAAATGTGGTAAATGCCATTCTTATGGAGTGACAGTGTATAAAATCAGAATAAGAAGAATAAATGAGATAAAATGAAGGAGGTGCCCTTTGCCTTTCAAGGTAGCTGAAGACACTGATTCATCAGTTTGTTGCTATGGTAGATGTTTCTCAGTAGCAAGAAACCTGATGGAGGGAGAAGTCTCAGCTTTGCTAAAGGATGCAGTTTCTCCAAAAACCTGAAGACAGAGGCATGTGGAAGGAAAGGAAGGATGAAGACAGGGATGAGTAAGGCAAGCTGGAGCACTTGATTGAATTGTAGCTTTGCACTGGCCCACTGCATCACAGATGTGATAATGCTCATGGTAAATAATTTGTTCCATTCACTGTATGTGAACATCTTTCACAAAACATAAAAAGTGAACTTTTAAACTTTTTTTAAATTCCTAATATAGTGAAATGTATATTTCTGCGTGCCTGGTACCTGTACTAATTCTTTCTATTTGGGAGATGAATGCTTTGGTTGGGATTTGGTTTGCCCAAAGGGTGTAGTTCCTCAGCAAAGCAGCTTCACCAACTCCCATACCCAGCTTTCAAGGCTGGTTTAAACCTTTTCACTTTCCCTTTTCAAATGCAAAAAGAAGTGCAAGTAGAAAAAGTACTCCATAATAGCTCTCTAGCCCCTATTGTCATTCTTTCAGAACAAAGTAATGATTTTAAGCTTAGAACTGTGTGTTAGGAATGAGTCCTCAGTTCTCAGGGGTGAATCATTTCTGAACAAATCTTTGGGTTTTGCTTTCTTTTTTCTTAATATGAATTTCAGGTTTTCAGATTTTTCCCTTTATTTTTTAGCATTTTATATCTTTAATATTCTTTTGGTGCAAAGAGGAGTCTGTGCAGTCTCACTGGATACCCCATGTCAAGATTTGGGTATAAAGCCCTGCAAATGAAAAAGCTGTTGCAATTACCCACCTGAGCAAAGAAGGGATCAGATCACACCAGATTTGACCTGAACAGTGAATGCTCAGAGGCCCAGAAGTAATAAGATCCAGCAGGGAACTTCTGAGTAGAAAATGTTGCCTTTGCAGAATTATAATTTATCCCAGGAATCTAGAATGAAAGTCATCTCTGTGTCCTGATAATTAGTGCTCTCTTAGAGCTGGCAGAGGCACTGGGGGCCATGTGTAGGCAGAGGCAGGGAACTCCAACAGTGGTTGTCTGTGGTGGTCAGGTATGAGCTTTTTACACACCTCAGCCTGCTTGTTTCCAGAAAAATCAATGGCCAGAATCATTGGAGAAATGGGAGAGGCTTGGAAGAAATAAAAAGAAATATTTCTTTTTACCCATAAATAGTAGCAGAAAACATTATGGAAGGAAATAAAAAAAGTTAGGAGCAGTCTCCTGGAAATGGGCTTAGTTCTATTTTTTAATGAAATATTTTCAGAACTGAATATTTCAAGCAAATGGCTTAGGTAAGAAGTTCAGGACCCTGCACTTTCCGTGAAAGCCTCACCACACATCATCCCAAGTAACTAACATGCAGTATGTAAATCAAGGCTTTGGCCTGACTCTTCTTTCCGTGTTTTGCGATGGTTCCTCCAAGGACTCCTTTAAAACAAAGTAATAACACACGCCATCCAGACAGCAGTTCAGGTTTGCCCAGCAAAGGGTAATCTGAACGACATCTCGCAGCACTTTTTGAAAACTGATGTGGATGATGTTTCTCTTCACCAAGAAGTACACGAAGTATGCCACGTGGTAAGGGGTGAAGCAGACCAAAAACGCCACGAGGTTTGTCACCACGATCCTCTCTGCTCTGGTGATGTGTGTCTGGGGGTTGTCTGGATCTCTGTGCCTTCTCAGGCACCTGACAGTTTGGGCAGTGCAGAACGTCATGGCTGCCATGCTGCCAAAGAAGATGGTCTCCAAGGTGCTGAACAGGCCTATGTCCGCCCATGTCCTCGGGGAGAAGTTATGGAAGCAGGATGAGATGTCTTGGCCCTTTTCATGCAATTGGGATGTAGAGACTGTCCCCACCGAGGTGCCCAGGCAGACAACAGCACAGACCATGGCAGCTTTCCTGATGGATCTCAGGGAGGGGGCTGTGAAGGGGTGCTGGATAGCGATGTACCGGTCCACGCAGATGCAGAGGGAGATGAGAATGCTGCCATACATGTTTACAAAGTAAAGACTCTCCAAGGCAGAGCAAAACACAGACCCCAAGTTCCACTTGTCCTGACGGTGGTAGGAAATGATTTTAAAAGGAAGAGTAAACAACAGCAAAGTATCCAGGAATATAAGGGCTATCATGTAGACAGTAGATTCTGACAGCTTTTTAACCTTAAAAAAGAGTAACAACAGAGCCATCACATTGAACAGCAATCCCAGGCTAAATGTGGGGATGTACATGATGAACTGGAACCATTCCACAGTAGCGCTGATGTTGCTCTTGTCATGGGTGTCATTCATAACTCCAGGTATGCTGGAAGAGAAGAAAATCACCTTCACTGCAAGGAAGGATGAAGACACGGTACAAAGGTCAGTGAGGTCTCTATGTGTCCACAGACTTGGAGATGCTTTTTTTCCCCTCTCAGGGTGCTCTGTACTGAATTGCAGCTCCCGGTAACATGGAGCTGCTCAGTGTCAAGGGGTCTTGGGGCAAACCTGTGCCTGAAGGAGGAGCTGGGATTTCTGGGGTCCAAGCCTCACTTGCACTGTCACCTGTTATCCCTAACTGTGCCATGATTTAGTCTAGGCAGAGTATAGATGTGACGGCACCATCCCCTTGCAGTGATACAATCTCTTTGCAGAACCGAGGTAGCAGCCCCCGATTTTGGTGTTTTTTGGATTGTGAGAGTGGAGACAATTATTTGGATCTGTTTTCCTGCATCAAGCTATCATAAGAGACCTTGGGAAGCCAAGACCACGAGGGTCTCCCATGTTTGTTAATGTGAAGATCCCACACAGCCACTGCCATCCCACACCCTCTCCCACCACCCCTGGGCAAAGACTGACTGTGATTACCTTTGGCCTTTCTACAAACTGTCTAAAAGCAGCAGGCAGGAAGCTTCAAATAGGCTATTTCCAGCAGAAGTTAAGTCATTAGTAGAAGGATGAGATTTAAGAACCCAAGCTTTTGTCTAAATCAGCCAGAGCTACCACAGCAGAGACAGGGTTGCAGGAAACATGCATCTGGATTCTCCTCTGCAAGGAGAGGACTTAAAGTGTGGAGGTACTTACTCTCTGAGCTGGGGTCACGGAGCAATTATCTTCTTTAGAGGAAGGGTGCTGGCTTGATCCTGCACTCAGACTCTCCTGATAAGGACTGGGAAGGTGCTCATTGGTTTCTGCCATGCTTGTCTCAGCTGGAATCACAAATGCCCAGGAATACCTCGTCCTTTTCTCCAGCCGGTTCCATGACAGCAAATGTAACCTGTGAATAAAGCCTGTCAGAGATCTTTCTGTCAGTGCCAGAAATTGCTTTTGACTGCTGTTCTCTAATTGTTATTACTTCAAAACATGAGTTACTAATTTTGAGGCAGTTCCATTTCGGACTTGTCAACCAGTTTTCAACCGTGCAGTCGAAGTTTCTGTTCTGCAGATCAAGTCATCTGACTATTTCAGAGGTAAGCAGTCCCTTGCTGTGGTTTGAGAGAGATTAGTGTCAGCAAAAAGGAAATTTATTTCTTTGTTCCTTAAGGACGCACTCATGCCGGGTAAATGATTCTGTGAATTACTGGCTCACATGACGGAAGTAAAAAAACCAGCTCCAGAAACCCAGCCTGAGGAGGAGAATGGGAGCAGGCAGGGCTGGGGGTGCAGGGTCAGGTGCAGGGATCCATCCGTCTGCAGCTCCTGTTGTGCTGTAGCAGGTACAGGTTTCATTCACTGTGAAGCACAACCAGCCTCCTTGCAGAGCACCACTGCCTGTGAGGTGTGGGGAGCTGTGGCTCAGTGGGGCAGCAGCCTTGTCAGCAGGGCCTGCTCTGCTGCAAGGGACTGAGGGGAGGCTGCAGGCAAATAATGACATTTCCTTGCCCAAATAGCAAAGGACAAGGAAACCTGAGCTTGTGAAGCACTTGGGGCTCTGACTGGCTGGAGAGGAGAAGCACTCCTTGTTGTGCTGCAGGTTGTTCAGCGTCTGGGAGTTAAACCCACAGAGCTGTAAAGGTTTTGGGAGCTGAGTTGGGTCCCTGAACCTCAGAACTCAGGTAGCCCATGACAGACAAGGGCAGTGATACTGCCCAATATAAAAGCATCACCAAAACTTGGACAGACAATGTGCTGCTCTCCTGCTGAGTCACCTTCATGAAGTGAGTCTAGTGCAGGGTGGAAACCTATTACAGAGAGCCAAAGGGAGAAGAAGTTAATTAAGGAATTATTAAAAAGTAATAAATGCTGACAAAGTTCTTTACTTCAGTGCCTCCCTAGGAGATTTCATTAGTACTTTCCTTTTTCTTCAGACTTGTTTGTAATTTGTTTGTTTGATAGTGTGTCCAGGAAATTCTGGGTCTAGAGAAATAGAATTTCAGCTTCTCACCAAGATGTTTAGCTAAGAAAATTCTAGTTATGATTAAAAGCATTTCAGACTAGAGTCTCTTGTGTAGATTTTAAAAAAAAAATCCCAAACAAACAAACAACAGAAAAATGGTATTTAAAGCACAAATGCAAAAGGCAGCTTTGTCCAGTCTTTAAAAAAGAGTAGCTATGATATAAGCAAAACAAGTTATGTAAAATATACTTAGTTTTCAGATCTTGTAGCAAAAGGAAAGCTTTTAAGGCAAGGTTTTGCAATAATGAAATATTCTCTCTTGTCATCTTACCTTTGGACTGTCTCTAGCTTTGGATGTTGAACTTTTCTCCTTCTCAACTTGTAGAATTCTGGAGTCTTGTGTTTTCTTTCAAGACAGTGGAGTGAACTGCATACAAAGCAGCTGCTGGTCAGGATGTCAGAAAGCACGAGGTGCTGCTGCTTTTTGTTTTGTCGCAAATTTCCATTACCACATTGGCCTCCCCACGCTGTGCCTGCGTGCACGTACTATGTACATAGAATGTCACACAGCTCATTTAAGGATGCAAATACATGGCTTTGTGGGTCTAACCTCTGAGTCACCCATTAAAATGAGTCTCCAATAACAGAGAAGGAAATGCTGGCCCTACGGACCTTTCTCTGTTGTTGTTTTTTTTTTCAGCAAGACATGATTTTATTGATTGTCTGAAACATCCACGGGTAGTGCTGGCTGTCAAAATGTGCTTTAAGCTAAATCCTGAGCTATCACTGTCATTGTTTCCCCCTCTTTTCATTATATCAAAAAGGAAAAAGAAATTGTTGATTTTCAGTGGTAGGTTCAATTCAAGCTGATATTTTAAAAGAGCCAAGAGTTACTCTTAAATCTGTTTGTACTCAGAGGGAACAGGGAATATACCCATGGAGAGTGTCAGGTGCTGATTTTGTTCAGGGAGGAAAGAGAAAAAAGGTATGTTTTTTCCCCATTGTATGTGTGTTTGCAATGTTCTTACCAAAAGGGGAAAGAAAGGCCAGAGGTGTAGTTTTGCTTGATCCTCTGCATGCTCCTTAAATACTTGAAAACTGAGGATTATAGTGACTAAATTAAAACTGTGCATCTGTGAAAGAGATAGGGGGATGGGAGATGGGAGAAGAAACAGTACTTGGGGTTCCCCTATGATATTTTAGTTGCAATTATCCTACCTAAGGAATAAAAAGAAACATCACCAAAAGGAAAAAAACAAGACAGAAGGTTTGGGTGAATAACACCTTATCTCATTCCTCAGCTAGGTTTCACTTCTGTGTATCTAGTGGTGGTTTTGTGACCATGGCTGCTTTCTGGATATTAACAAAAAACCCCACAGAGCACAGGCAGGTACCACTACTATGAAGAGGCATGTTGGGGGCTGAGCCACCCTGGGTGGTGAGAACTAAGGTTACTGTCAACATGGACATAAACCCAGCTGCCAGAGCACTCTGTGTTCCTACCCTGGTCTGGGGTTTACAAATGCCAGTTCTGATAGTGCCACCAAGGCTCAGAGTGGATGCTCTCTCTTCCCTGTTCAAGGTTTTCCTCTCACACACTTGGAGCTTTCTTTTCTGTTTTACACTCATATTCTGATGCCACCTAAGCACTGCCCCCCTCACCAGGGGCTGCCCTGGGTGTGCTTGCTACACAGAGCCCTGGGTGGCTGCACATCTGGAGAAAGATGCTTTGAAAAAGAGAGGATGAGGAAGCAGCAATGCCAGGGTTAGCCTAGCCACCACCAGCAACTGGTCTGCTTTTTTTCCCCTAGCAATATGCTTGTGAGTTTTTTAGGGAAGAGGATGAGGAGAAAGGGCCAGGAAGGCATGCAGTGGGTCCAAAAGCACTTGGGACAAGGTGTGAGGGCTTCTTTACCTTCAGAATGGAATGGATGAAAAAAATGTGATGCTGAGGGCTGATGGAGAGGGTAAAATAAACCTGAGTGAGCTGCATAATGGAGAGGCTGGGATAGCCCATGAAGGGTTCTCAGACTGTTCATTAATAGCTTTCTTGGGATGCAGTGGTGAGAAAGCAGTGGACAGCCAAGGTACCTTTCTTTTCTCGACACAGGCCCTACTCTGTGCTAATGGAATGTGTCTCTTCACAAAGTCCCCAAAACCAAGGGTGGGTCCTTTTTCTTGGAGATTAGGGAGGAGAGAGCCAACTCTACAAATCCTCCTCTGTCCTTGGTGCCTCTGTGCTTGTCACTAATGCTACCAGTGCATGAAGCACCTTCTGCTTTGTGAGACTGCAGATGTTGCATGCATCATTTTGTGCCTTTTTCCTGATGAAGAAGAGGGTTCACATGCATTTTTTTTTGCTAGTATGAAGGACTTTACCATATTGCTGCTGCCACACAGACCTCCCCTTCTGGCCACACACACATCCCTGGGTGGCAACCAGTGAAGCTCTGCTGATTCCCTGTGCTTGCCCTTGAGGTAGATCTAGTCCTTGCAGTGCTGAGCTGTGCCAGCCATCCCTGGGCACTGCTGGTCCACTGCTGTGCCCTGACACTGGACTGCACCAGAGACCAGTGCTATGTCCTGGTTCCCCTGCTGTCAGTCCTGGCTCTCAGGAACAGTGTCAGCATGGGGCTGGTGCTGCTGTCATCCTTCAGTTTGGTAGGTAAATCAGTAACCACCACACCACACAGGGTTGTGCAGTGAAGACATGGTGAGTTTTTTTCTTGATCTAAATCAGAGTATAAACAGTGAGAAAAATATTTACTCTGCTTGAAAAGAGAGAGCCTCCACTGCTGTGATCCAAGACTGCCTGCAACCTCTGGGTGAGCCAGAACTGGGATGAAAAGTCCCATCACTTAAATCTGGTGGCTCTGCAGAACTGTTTGTAATTGAGTTGCTCCATCTCGTGGCTACAGGAGAAATGAGAAATACGGCTTAAGCCCTGCAATATCTCTGTCTCTATCTGTGATTAGACAGTTTATCCCAACCTGCCCCCACCAGCTGAGCACCGGGCTCCTTGTCCTGGTGGACACTGTTCTCTGGTGGACACTGGCTCTCTGTTCGCTCCACCATCCTCACTGTGGACAGCCCAGGAGTGAAGAGCAAGGGAGAGCCAAAAGCTCTGACGGTTATGGGCGGAGAGGACCAGAGCACAAGAACAGCTGAAATGGAGCTTTTCTGCAGAGGAGATGACCACAAGTACTGCCTGTATGTCGCTGGTGGGGCTGAGGGGCTGGGGGCAGGAAGCTGCTGTGCTGGTACAGCCATCTGACCACAGGCCTTCTCACTTGTGTTTAGTGTCCGCCGGACAGACCTTGCAGGTTGAGGGAGGCACCAGCAAACCCTGGCTGTTTACCAAGGCCAAGAGTGCTCCAGAAGACAAGGGTCCTTTCAATGCTGGAGGTGCTAAATCTGCTACCTAGCAGAACAGGTGAGCTGGTCTCACTCTTTCTCTCTGTTTAGTGTTGAAGTGATCTAGTATTTATTGAGTGACATGTCTCAGTTTCCATAGAGAAATCAGCTGGGGATGCTCCTGAGGCCAGGTCAGCAGGGTAGACATTGCCTTGAGACTGGTGAAATTTAAAACTACTGGAGATCTCTCTCTTATATTGCTTCTTTTGCACTTTCAGTAGTTCTCCAGCTCCACACAGCAGGTGTTCAAGCAGGGCTCATGCACCCCAGCCAAAGGCCCTACGTAGCACATCACAGCCTATGCCTCTCCTCTGCCTGACAACTGAATAGTTTTGACAGTTCTAAGATATTTTTATTCCTACTCAAACCATTAGCTACGCTGGTCTTCGAGATATCATGATCTTTGAAAGACTTGAGGCAGCAATTTTGCAAATTATTTCCTGACAGATCATGCAAACCTCGAAACCATAAGACTGCCCTGTCATGACCGGATGGGTACTTCAGCTGTAATTTTTCAAGGTGGGAAAAAAATCAGTTACTGAAGATGATCAAGATTTCATTTTATTTTTCACCATTCTGAATTGCACATACAGCTCCAGGAAAGTAACTGTGTAACTGGACCTTCTTCCCAAAAACCACTTGTATGCATTTTGAACCAATTAGGCTGCTCATATGGCTGAGGAACTGCATCCTTCTGGGGTGCACACATTCTTCTGGGGGGACCACAAGAGTCTCAGACCCCACATGTCTCATCGTTCCATTTCTTCTTAATGGGAAAAGTCAGTTTTCCTTGCCTTGTTTCTGGGGCCTGTGTAATGGCACAGCGTGTTTGTGAGAAGCTGTTAGACGTATTTACAGCAGCCCTCGTGGCAGGAAGGGAAGGTCCTCGGATGTCATTATGAGAAAATAATAAACTGAAGAAGAACATAAGCATTGTTTTAGGCAAGAAAAAAGGTGTGTCTAAAGTGGCAGCCCATCTTTGACCACAACCAGCAATGGATGTTTAGGGGAGGAGTGTAAGAAACTGTGTTAAGAGAAAAATTCAGGTTCCCAGCTAAATTGTGGTGTCTGGTGTTCCTACAGTAGCAGAAATTAAAAGGTGGCAAGTCTGCGAGTTTAGTTAATTAGCATGAAGAGTTTAAATACTTAGAAATGCAGTGACAGCAGTGAGAATTTGGCAACATTGCTTTTTCCTGAGTTTATATTGATATGATATTCCTCAAAGGAAATATTCTTACAAAACTATATGTTTTCAGAAGGCTTGTTTGAGGGGGAAAAAAGGGAAACTTTTAAAAATCATTTTTTATTAAAATACATGTTACTTTCTCTGTGTTCTGCTCTATTACTTTGTTATGTAAACTGTGGGTACCATGGTTGTGCCAAACATCAGCTCATGGTCTATTACAATCTAAACAGGCCAGCAGCAATGCATGTCTTTATGATATCATGACGTGCCAGTAAGATTTAATTTTGCTGTGGTCAGACGTGGAGCGCACAGGGGATTTTGCTGCTAATGAGAATCTCTCTCTTCTTGTTTATGCGTAGTTGGAAGCATCAGTTTTGTGTTTTGATAACATTACAACCTGTTTATCAAGTATTATCTCTGCTGAGCACTGTGCTCATGAGGTGTGGTGTTGGCTGTGCCTGAACACACCGCTTTTAGGGTGATTTAGGTGCCTGCACAGGACATCACAAGGTACCATGACAGGTTTGCCTGTTTGGCACTGTCACAGTAGAGTTGTCTGTCCTGTTCAGTGTTGTCCTGGTGGCATAGGCAGGGTCTGTTATTTTTTTCCATTTTACGTGTGGGGAATCAAAGCAGAGATGATCAGAAGGACTTTCCAAAGGTTATACGAGACACCTGCAGTGGAGTGCAGTTTCCCAGCTCCAAATATCCAATGCCAACACAATAGTTTTAGCCAGTTCCTTCCTGGTGTCCAGCTCCCTGTCTGCAGCCCAGGAGAGACAACATTGCATCAACCATGGCTGGGGTTCACACCCTTCTAGAAGTCCTAAATTCTTCCGAAATAATTTCTCTGTCTGCACTGTCATATTCAGAAAGAACTATTCGCAGGTGGTAAGGGTTGAAACTGTGTTGAAACTATGTAGTAACATGTAAAGGGAGTAATTAAGAATATGACTAAGTATATATCCTGTCATTTTCTGTATGTACACGATCACTTAATTAATTTGAGTCCTTCCGTTTAATTTTGGTAACATTTTAGTTAGAGTAAGACTGTGTGAACTAGGGCAGGGAGAGGTTTGTGTCACCTCTAATCTAAGGGAGCCTTTGTATCTATTATGCTACAGTTTGTGTGCATAGTTAGATATGTTAGTCCCCATAGGAAGGGGTCCACATGGCACCACAGCCTGGGTTTCAACCAAAAGAAGAGCTGCTGTTCCTGCCCTCTCCTTTGTGCCATCTTCCCTCTCCTTTTCCCACTGCCCATCTCTTGCTTTCCCCAGAGAGTTGGTGTGTGGGGGCTGAGCCTGCACCATTCTGTCCTCTTTTGAAATGCCCCTTCAGTGAAAGGTTTAAAGGGCTTTTAGTGGACAACATTTGCTGTGAGTCTGAAAATATCTGTCTTGTTGCCTGAACGTGGAGCTCGTTTACTGCTCATTTGGTACCGCGAACTCTTCAGACTTCTCACACTTATTAATTTTTAGTGAAATCAAATTCATATGAATAAATAGATGACACTGATGAAGATGTCACAAGCATTTATCAGGCCACATCCTTTTCCTGTTGTTTTCCTGGTAAGCAGTTCTTAAGCCAAATATCTAAATATTTTAGCTTGAAACTTCTCGGTCTTGAGCATTTCTTTGTAAATAACCACAACCGCTGAAGCAAAATGAAGCAGGGCTATAACTGTGGTGCTGATTTAGCAGTCAGGTTTGTGATTTGAATTAAGTGGGGAGGGGGAGAAAGAAGATCTATTTCTTTAACTACAGCAGTTTAATTTTTTTATTATTTCTAGCATAATTCAGTTTTTGCATAGTTGATGCTTGGTTCATGTTTTGCAGTGCTGACACCTGGTTCTTTTAAGTAAATTGTTCCAGGATTCAGAATATTGTTTCTCCAATCTTTCTGATTTCATAAACTTGTGAAAAGTCAGATCAAATTTGAGATCAAAAAGAGTCCAAGCCTCTAGAGCTGCAGTTTAATAGCATATACATAGCCTGCTGCATCGCAGCCAAATCTCTGCCTGAAACTATAATTGGTGGAACAAATTTGAGTTCCTCAAGAGTAGTAAAAAAGAGTAACTATTTGTTATACTTGCTTTCTTCTTTGTTTAACCACACCTGGTTTATCAAACTAAGAAATATTGACCATTTCTGTGTAGGAGAACACTTGCTTATGATTCTAGACTGAGGAGAAGGTATGTTTGGAGGGCCCACCCATATTAATTTAATTGTAATCCTCCCCCAAACAAATGGCTACTCTATATAATTATGTTCTTACCACTCTTCTGCTCAGTAGCACCTTCCACACCAGTGTCCAAGTGACCCCTGGTAGAGGCAGCTTCTGCTCAGCAGGACAGAAATTTTCAACCTGGTCTTAACATCACATAAGCAACAGGGTAGGAAAAAAAAAAAGAGGCATGCAATGCTGTTGTAAAACGATTTATATTCATTAACTTGGTGCTGGTTACACCAACACACTTCTTTTTGTACAGACTGGAACCACAAAGCGAATGTGAGAGCTGGGTTTTGGGTTGTATTCAGCTGAGTTGCATTCAGGCAGGTCAGGCACTCCGTGGTGTGCAGGCACAGAGCAAGGCCAGTTTGCCTTTAGCTCCAGCTTGCAGGGAGTCCAGGGCAGGCTGTGCCCAACAGAAGGGCAGGAAAAGCAGGCAGGCCCCAGTGCTGGCTCTGTGGCAGGCCATGCTGGAGATGGCTGATTTCCTCTTCAGAAATCTCTCTGCCTGTGGTGAATGGCTGTGTTTGAAGGTGTTTTCATTATTTAAAGGTGTTTTGTTTCACGTAGGTCCATCTCCTATACCAGACACCCAGGCTCCATCATGCTTCTGAAGGCAAACCTGGGCTAGTGATTAAGAAGTGTCTGGGCACCGTGCAGTGAACCTCTCAGCAGGAAAGAAACCCAGGCAGAGTTTTCATGTTCATGGGGTTTTTTCATGTTGCATCTCAGTCATTTCACACCGCCTTCAGCTCTTCACTTTTTACCATGTGCTCCAGCTTGAGGTGTACACAAGATCTTCAGGTCTCCCAGCTCACTGACATGAGAAGAAAGGGAAACACGTGGGTAACACAACGCGAGAAGAAAGGTGACTCAATCCCACAGCTTTCAATGTACAGGAAAAAGCAGCCTTTTCTCACTGCTGAGAGAAATCTGGGGCAGATTCTCAGAAGAGTCCCAGCTGTGGCTTGCTAGCAAGAGTCAACCCTGGGAAAACTGCCCCATGGGCGGGTGACTGCCAGGGTGCGTCACATGAGGTGGAAGAAGCAGGGGCAGGAGGAGGGGGATGGCTGCTCAGGGTGACCTCTGGGGGTGCTGGAGGGATTTCTCTACTTTCCCTGGCCTGGGGGATAACTTCCTACTTTAGGAAGGAAAGAGGACCTAGAGGACAAGCAAAGTGGGAAGTTTGGTAAGGAATCTTGTTCACTTTAAGCAACTGAGCCACAGACCGGTTTTGAAAATT